ACTCATCGAACTTTATAGTATATATATCTCCAATGTAATCTTTGAGAGGGTCTTGGAGCACGATTTATAATATATTGGTGTCGTATCCACAATAATCGACACGACGAAGTTGCATAATGCTTTTGTAAATTCATGTTTTTGTTGTTTTCATATTAATTCTACATGCACATAGAATGATTAAATTCCGATGGTCAAAAATCACAGATACAGGAAACAGCCACTCACAATCAATTCACTGAAAATATAATAAAGCAAAACTCAGATGAATCACTCGACCGCCATAGAAGTTACTCCGCGTAACAGCAATCCGAGAGGGTGCCATGCATGGTAACTCATAGAGCATGTGCATAATATTTCATTTTCTCTCATCTCTATTATGTATTACAGAGTGAGTGTCATCCGCCCGTACCTCCCTGTGGTCGGACAGACCGACCGCTGGGCGCTGTTGAGAGGTGGGTATCCGAGTGGAATAGCTGGGCGCCTCCGCTGTCGGGGCGAGCTCACTTACGTTTAGCCATTTCATCATTCTCATAATAATTTACTTGTGATTGTGTGAGTGTCGCCACTTATGGCTATACAATATCATTATACCATATTATACACATACTCATTATTCAATATCTAATTACTATTAGTAATATATTAATACTATTACGAGGTAATATTACATATTCGAGTATAAATATACTTATAGGAGGACTCACATTATATTATACTACTGGCGGTAAGTATACCATATACGGGTACCGTATACTAATACAAGTTAAATTATTTTAATCTTAGCCGGGCTCCTCATAGAGCTCAACGTTCACTCCACACAAATAATTACCAATTAGATGATTTTATATACATAGCATATAAATATATAGTATATCTACGACTAGCTATATAAGTATACCGCTAGAAATATATAATATTCTTCAACAAAACGACACACTTATTTACTCTGACTTTAATCTGTTTATAAGCACATATTCACCTATAACTTTTAGTGTACTGGGCGAACCGATTTTTCATCATAATGGAATTATCTTAAATAGGAAAAAAATATATATACACTGCTATGTATAAGTTTCACATCTTACCGCGGCGAAACATAATAGAAGATAACGAGTAAAGTAAGAAACTAACTCAGAGTATGCAATCACTCACACGTGTAATTAGCTATCCCCCACCCCATACACTCAGAGATAAACAGAAAAAAAAACGAACACTGTAAGATACCTGTAACTAACAGGTCAGCTTGCTCTCAGATACTTTTCTGAAGCAGGACGAGAAAGATTCTCATGCATCTGGAAGAACACTGTAAGTCTGTATAATCTTCGCGCGATGATTCCCTGTAGAAGCCGGGTAGAGGAGAGGTACACACGCACATGACACATAGCGAAGATCCACCACAAACCAGCGTTCTAAGAGGGAACTTGGTACATCGTACAACACGAAGGGAGAGCCATTGTTGTTAAAAGCCGTGGCACTACCGGATCACATTTCCGGGGTGAGCTTGTTGGTCTTTCCTTAAAGGGACACGAAAGCTTGTATAAGGTTGCTAACATGACGGTGGAGATAGTTCACGATCAAAATTTAATTACTAAATTACTAAGCTACACACCACCTCATATCACTACATTTACTTTAAACGCTTTCAAAATAATTAATACGGCAGATTAATAAAAGCAATGATAAGAGGCAATAATAACTGAAAGTAACATCCAAATGAAGGGATATGTGAATAATGATGAATGAGTTATTCAAGATTAAATGGAGACAATGAATAGTAGATAAAAATATTATAAGGAATAGCAATATCAGGGTGGTAACTAATAAGCATTAAGGGAAATAATAAACTACTAAAGAATATAATATGTATATCAATAATAAACAAAATTATTATTTAAAAAGGGTAAAGAGCTATAGTAACTATAAGAATAGGAATAATAATATATGATAATAATGGATACATAAACATAGATATATTATTATAAAAAACATACACATTATCAACAATACATATAATGTTACCGCGAGGGGAGGGGGTGCTAAGGGGGAGGAAGGATGCAAGGGAGTGGGAGTTGTTGGGGGAAGTGGTTGCTCGGAGGGAGGGGGTTGCTAAGGGGGAGAGGTTGCTGGGGTGGAGAATGTTGGGGGCAGGGGTTATTGTGGGAGATGCTGGGGGCCAGGGGATGCTAAGGGAGGTATCTTGGATTGGTCTTTTCGCTCAATGTTATAGTCCAGTTGAGGTGGTGGTTGTGGTGATAGTGAGAGAAAGAGATAAGAGGGAGAGGGAGGGCACATAGTAACTATCTAGGACGCTGTTTATCTAATAGGAACTATAAAGCACTTATTCATTTATTTAACATTCACACATACCCCCCGATCCTCTCTCTCGGGTTATCCTACTATTTAATCCCTGATTCTAATCTATTCTAATTACTCTAATATTTATTCAATTAATCATGTAACACAACATCCAAAACAAATATACATCACACACACATTCACATCACAAACACCACAAACATCAAATCAATCATTACAAGATCATCCATACCAACAACTCATCATAAAACACCACACAACATCAAATACCAACTACTACATACTAGTATAAGGTATATAATATATATATATTTATTATATATAAATATTATAAAATATATATATATATATATATATATATATATTTATATAATATGATATATATATGAGAAAATAACACAAAGTAATATAAATAAAATCACCAATATTATAGAACAGTACCTGGTCTCGCTGTTTTTATCCTCCGGATTCTCCTTATTTATATGCCGTTATAACTTTACCAAACACACACTCGTCTCTACACACTCCACTCCTTATCCACCTTCCCAATCCCTCTACCTATTATCCTTCTGATCTCCACTCACATTAACACCTCACCAGCACGCTTCTTACAAACCTACCAGAAATCAACAGCATGAATACATCATAAACTACCTATATCCTAAATACCTTCAAAATCACAGATATATAAATATTAGTGATACTCTACATAAAATACCATGAGAAATTGAACTTCGAGGTAAACATTAGCTTTTCAAATACTTACAGTCTTCTATAAATGAAATCATAATGATTAATATATTTGGAATATATTTTTGCCAAATGACATACATATGAGAATGACAGCGTCGCACACCACCTCAAACTGGAAGGGAGACGAGGTCAGGGGTTGACCATGGCATAAATGCGCTGTTACCCTGTAATGCGAATAAAACGAGGAATTGTTAATGAATATAATAAAAACATGAAAATCAATGACACTCACGTAAGTGCTGGAAAGTTATAATTTTTTTTCTGTAATATCTTTCTTTTTTGAGGGTATCTATTCTATATTTTTTCGTCAATTATTCTATTTGTTGTTGGTTTTGCATTTTAGTTCTACTATTTTCATCTTTCACTCTGCTTTATAACATACTGTTTCATCTTGCTCTCTCTCGTTCGCTTGGTCACATAAATCATCATATTCCGCCTGCTTCTCTCTGTCCTTCTCGTCTCTTATACTCTCTCTCTCTTCTCTTTCTTTTTATCTTAATTCTCTTCTGCATACACACTCATATAATCTCCTTATACATCTTATTCTAACCACTTACTAACAAGACACTCTCTTATTTCCTCTCTTCTCATATCTCAACTTTCTATGGGCCGCCATTTGGTTCTTATCTTCTCTTTCTCTTCGTTCTCTGGAGTCTTGTTCACTTACTTCTTCCTCTCTCCATCCTCTTTTCGTCTCTTTTCTCTCTTCTCTCCTCTTCTCTTTCTCTCATCTCTCTCCTTCCTCTCTCTCATCTCCATTCCTCCCTCTCCCCCTTCCCGTCATCTCTCTCTCTTTCTCTCTCTTCTCTCTCCTTTCTTCTTTCATCTTCCTCTTCACTGCCTTCTTTCCCTCTCTCTCTCTCTCCCTCTTCTTCTTAATCTCTCTTCTCTCTCTCCTCCTCTCTCCTTCTCTTCTCCTCTCTCTCTCTCTTTCTCTCCCCTCTTCCTCTCTCTTCTTTCTTCCTTTTGATACTCTTTTGTCTTTTTTTCCTTTCTCTACTCTCATCTTACTCTCCGTCCTCTACCGCCATTTCCTCTCTCTCTCTCATCTCCTCTCCTCTCTCTCGTCTCTCCTCTCCGTCTTCTCCATCTTCTTCTTTTCTTTCTCATTAGCATATTAATCAGATGAGTTACGTAAGCCAATAATAATAAAATATAATATATATTAATTATATACATATGATTCATAATTATATATATATCTTTCATATATCATATATAAGTGTTCTGTGTGTGTGTGCTGTGTGTGGTTTCGTGTGTGTTGGTGTGTGATGTGTGTGTTGTCGTTCGTGGTGTTGTGTTATGTCTCCTCTCGTCGTTCTATCTCACTCTTCTATAAGATACTGAGAAATATCGACTGTTCAGAATCTACCCACATATAGTCATAGACAAGGAATAATAATAAAAGAAATACCAAACACAAGGCGCTAGAAAATTAGAAAAAGAAGAAAAGTGACAACTGACAACAACCGGAATGAAAGAAATAAGCGAAATGACCCGCTGTTCCTCAAGTTACGGAATAAAGTACCCAAGTTTCGCCAAAGTCGTTTGGAAAATTATAAATTTGTGAACCTAAGAGAATACAGTGCAACCTCCCCCCTCCTCCCTCCCTCCCTCCCCCTCTCCCCTCAATCTTTCTCAACCGTCGTTCACTGCGAAGGGCAAGGAACAAACAAGGAATATCGTTTAGAATGTGGGATTAAGAACGCACAGCATGGACCTCATAACATAGAACAAACTAGAGTATAGAACCAAGACCGATAAACATAGAACATAAAAACAAAAGCGCAGAACGCATAACACATATGATTGAACAATCACAGAACATAGAACCAGGGACGCGCAACATAGGTCACATAGCATAGAAACAAACGCAGAAACGAAAGCATAGAACCAAGAACGATAAACATAGAACATAGAACCAACATAACATGGACAACATAACACATAACTTAGAACAAATACCGTACCTAGAACGAAGAACAATGTTCACAGAGACGAGGACCAAAACCGCACATGTGGCCGGTTTGTTAAAATTGTGCGAAGCTCGATCCAAAACATACACATTATACATACGTACATTTACAAAGATATGGATACATATCTATCAATCTTGACATACATATCTACCGGATAGATAGGTAGATGAATGTATATCTATCAGACAAATAGATAAATATGCATTTATTTCTGTGTATATGCATGTTCGTATATATGGATATTTATTAGGTCATGCCTCGCACAATATTAACAAACTGGCCGATGGAATCTAGTACATAACATAGAACAAACATAGAACATATACTCTAGAACCACGAACTATAAGAATAGCCCATAGAACCAAGAACACACAACGTGAACCAGATAATCCAAACATTGACGAAAAATAAAGCACAGAACCAAGAACACAGAAGAAAGAACACAGCACAGAACCAAGAACACAGAAGAAAGAGCACAGAACCAAGAACACAGAAGAAAGACAGCACAGAAGAAAGAGCACAGAACAAGAACACAGAAGAAAGAACACAGCACAGAACACAGAAGAAAAGAACAAGCACAGAACCAAGAACACAAAAGAAAGACACAGCAAGAACCAAGAACACAGAAAGACAGAACCAAGAACACAAAAGAAAGAACACAGCACAGAACCAAGAACACAGAAGAAAGAACACAGCACAAGAACCAAGAACACAGAAGAAAGAATACAGCACAGAACCAAGAACACAGAAGAAAGAACACAGCACAGAACCAAGAACACAAGACACAGCACAGAACAAGAACACAGAAGAAAGAACACAGCACAGAACAGAAACACAGAAGAAAGAACACAGCACAGAACCAAGAACACAGAAGAAAGAAAACAGCACAGAACCAAAACACAAAAGAAAGAACACAGCACAGAACCAAGAACACAGAAGAAAGAACACAGCACAGAACCAAGAACACAGAAGAAAGAACACACACAGAACACAGAAGAAAGAACACAGCACAGAACCAAGAACACAAAAGAAAGAACACAGCACAGAACCAAGAACACAGAAGAAAGAACACAGCACAGAACCAAGAACACAGAAGAAAGAAAACAGCACAGAACACAAGAACACAGCACAGACAGCACAGAACCAAGAACACAGAAGAAAGAACACAGCACAGAACCAAGAACACAGAACCAAGAACACAGAAGAAAGAATACACACCACAGAACCTGAACTGAACCTCGAACCACAACGCAGTGCAGAACGAACATATAACATGGAAAAATAACAGTATGTTGAAAGGTCATTATCCCCCAGGTTATTCGTCCTAATTTGCATAAGCGTTTCCCCTTATTGAAAGTGCATATAGTGTCCGTATAGATTTAATTATGGAGAGAACGTACACGTGCAAGTGTCTGCAAAATCGGGGATTGTTTGTATCTATTTTCATCTATTGAATTCTCTTTATTTGTTTATCTATTTGCTTGTTTGTTTTTTTGTTTATTTATTTATTCTAATTTGTTTAATGTATTCATTTATTTATTAATTTCCTGTTTATTCGTTTTTTATTTGGATATCTATTTTTACTTGTTCATATATTTAACAGTTTGTTTGTTTATATATTCACCTATCTATCTATTCATTTGTTTAACTACTTATCTATCTAATAATTAATTTAATTAATTTAATTTATCTATTTATTTATTCACCCTTATACATTATGCACTTACTTAGCTTCTTATCATTACTTATTTAAAGAAAAAGGTCTGGAAATTGATAAAGAATGAACAGGTGAAAAGTAATATGAAATGTCTCTCATAAATTAGATACCATATTTCTCATGTATTCATGGTAGATTTTCCTTTTGGACCAATAGTTTGCTGACCGATAGGAATGAAAAACGAGAAGTATATACAGAATATATAAATGAGTGAGAAAGATGACGAGAAGTGGAAGCATGAATATGAATAAATAGATGAGAAATATTTACATACATAAGAGGCATTAACAGTACAAATTTGCTTGGTTATTAGGATGGATATGCGAAACACAATGCCTTGTTAATGATGACTTAATTAGGTCATTGTTATTCAGAGTAGGATATTTTTTCTTTTTTTTGAGGACAATGGCAAATGAAACTCTGCCGTGTGTTTTCCTTTTCCATGCAATCATGCGACAGAAATGATTATTAGCTTGTTTGCAATGGTGTATAGCGTCCTCTGATGAGACTATTGAGTGTTGTGAAAGCTGTTTTGGTAATGCTTTTATGGTAAATTTGGAAAGTAGGTATTGAGGATAATTGAGGAAGATGAGAGCGAGTGCAAGGAGAGAGAGAGAGAGAGAGAGAGAGAGAGAGAGAGAGAGAGAGAGAGAGAGAGAGAGAGAGAGAGAGAGAGAGAGAGAGAGAGAGAGAGAGAGAGAGAGAGAAAGATAGTATAGCAGCGAGGAAGGAGAA